GGTGATCAGAAACCCTTCATCACTTAAGAAAAACTCAAGCCCAACAACAGATCGGCACGTTGACCTGCTAAATATTACATATTACTTAGTTATATAACTAAGAATAGATCAGAAGTTGGCAACCTTTTTTAAAAAAAAAGCCATTTTAAGCTAAATGTCTGACCCAAGATTTACAAAGAGCCCCAATGGATAAAGGGGGTCTGATATCGGTATATATGCATTTAATACAAAAACAAAACTTGAAGTACTTACAAAAAATAAAGAAATACAATTCCGGGGGGGTGGGGGGGTGATTCTCAGTTTTAAATCACTCGAACGCATAACAGTGCAAAGGTGACTAATATCACAATATTGTTCAGTTCTGTAGCGATAATCTTCACCATCACCCAAGTTCGTTTGGCTCTGCAGCTGTCTGCCCTTCACTCTCTACTTCACTACTTGTAACTATGCTGACCGAGCAGTGCAAAATGTCCTCACCACTCCGAACTCAGCTGGCTATAATATGTAAATTGAAGAAAATATAATAATTTTACGAAGATCTGGGAAGGCGTGATGACGATTTACTACGAAAAATATATGAAAGAATTACGAATCCCAATAAACTTAATAAGCCTACATCCAATCTCAGACATTGAAGAAAACTCCGGAAAGCATACCATTTGACCGGAGACATACTCCCGTAGAGAATGACTTTGAGGAAGATTAAATTACAGAAGTGCGCGACGGACCGCCTTATTCACATATAGCTAAAGAAATACCTAAATGAAAAATAATAATATTAATCCATAAATAATTTTACCGAGGTATTATCATTGTCACGTTCGGGCTCGGGCGAGCAGGGAAGCAGGCGACGTGCAGCCAGAACGTCAGGTAAACGGGATTTATTCACAAAGACGGACAGGCACGGACATCTACGGATAATACAACAATGACTGATCTGGGGATGACTGACTCTGACAAGGACTAAATACACTAGACAAGCTGAGGGAAAGCAGGGTGTGACAATCATAATATGTTAAAACATGAAAATGCGAATGTGTCTATCGTTTTGAGAAGAGCTACAGCCTGCATAGTATTTAAGGCTAGATGTACTTTGGCGGCAACTCATTTCACATCGACAGTAACTGCAAATAACTTTGGTCTTGTCGATGGACTAATCTGACAGAGTTTTGAAGCTGAATCTGCCATTCAAAATACCTTTTTCTATATATATATAATTGATGTATAACAAAAATGTATCCTTGTTTTACATTAACAGTTACTCTTGAACCATTACATTGATTAAAGATCTCCATTCTAATTCAATATCCTCTTTGTTTATAGGGGACAGGTGCCATCTGAAGCTGAATTAAATTATTTAAGAATTGCCAAGACACTTGAAATGTATGGTGTTGATCTACATCCCGTATTTGTAAGTGTTTGCGTTTCCTATTCTGTTCAGCTATTGAAGCCACTTTAGACCTTTGTTTTTTCCCCACATTTGAATCTCCCCATTCTTGCTTCATTCTTTCTTTACAGGGAGAGAATCAGTCTGAATACTTTCTTGGATTAACACCAGTTGGAGTTGTTGTTTACAAGAACAAAACCCAAGTTGGAAAGTACTTCTGGTAGGTAATAGTCAGGAACTGGTGGTTTACCAACTGCATGCTTATAATCAAAATCAAACAATTAAAATCACACTAAAAATTTTATGTTTTTACACTGTAATAGAATTTACATGTATCGTTCATCATTGGACTGCAATTACTGAAAGAATTAAAGCCAATAAATATTAATCCTTCTTCTTAATCCTTAGGCCAAGAATAACAAAAGTACATTTCAAGGACACTCAGTTTGAGCTGCGTGTCATGGGGAAAGATGTGAGTTTTCTATTATTTATAAACAGTTAAAGCATACTGATTCTCATTTGTTTCAAAATCAAAATGAAGTATATCATTCTTTTTCATCGGATCGTATAAATTTGTGTTTTTAATGAGTACTGACAAATTTCTTTCAAATTTATTTATTGTACGCAATATAGTTCCAAACCAAAAGGGGGGTGTCATTCATTGTGTGTAGATACGTTGAGTAATGCACAGTAAGCAGGAAAAAAAAAAATTAAGTGATTATCAGTTTTTCAGATTCAGTCCTCTTCAGTCTCAGGAAGCAGAAAATGACACATCACGCGCAGCTTATGAGGTAGAAAGCAGTTTGGTCAAGCAGAGATGAGAATAAAATTGTAAAAGTGCACCTTTAGTTTATTCACTTTTTCTTTGTGCAAAAAAGTACAGTGCAGCAGATTTAGTTTGGCTGTTACACAGTTATACTGCTGTAAATCAGCAGGAATCTGTTAAAAGGAGAGAAAGCTAGAATAGAAAACGTTAGGGTCAGAAACCAAAACAAAGAACAAAACTTACTGAAAGCATTTGATCCACTTATGAGTTATTCTTTTTCAGTCCCTTCTTGTTGCTGTTTTGTGAAAGTTAATTATTTCTCTGGATATAACCATACATAGGAACTCATGAATATAAATGTTTCACGCTGTTAAGAGAAAACAAGCTTCAGTGTGGAAAACAGCAGGTAAACGGAAGGATTCCACATGGGGTTAATGAGGTAGGCGTGGTCCACACAAGGGCTGAATGGGTGATTCCGGGCGCGCCCAAGGGAAGGGGCGGATGAGACCAGGGGAACAGGACCTGGAAGACAAAAATAAGACCATCAACGGGGCACTGGAAACAGGATGGAAACACAGAACAGGCACAAGGGCAAAAGCCATGACAGGACCCGACACAAGACAGGGAACACTGACAGACAAACCAGAAAGGGAGACGCCGGGGAAGCAAAACACGGAGGAACAAAAAGGACCAGGAGTGAACAGAGGAGGCACAGAGGGACAAGGGATGGGCACAGAGGGACAAGGGATGGAAACAGGAGGAACAAAGGGACCAGGAGGGAACAAACCAGGAGGCAGGAAGGGAAAGGGCGGAGGAACAAGGGGAGACCGAGGGAACTCAGGTGGGCGAGGGAAGGCAGCCGCAGGGGCCACAGGCGGACGGGAGGCCTAGAAGCCTCGGGCAGAACAGAGATAAATGGAGCAGAGGTGGGCGGAGCAGCCGGAACCTTAGAAGCTGCGGGCGGAGCCGGGACAGCGGGCGGAGCCGGGACTGCAGGTGGAGCTGGCATCGGGACCTCAGGCGAAACCGCTGCAGGCAGGCAGGCTCCGGGCGAGACAGGCGGGACAAGCAGGCAAGCTGCAGGCAAGACGGGCGGGACGGGTGGAGCCGGCAAGACGGGTGGGACCTCAAGCGTGGGCGGAGGCGGGGCCGTAGCAGGCGCCTCGGGCTCAGCCGGAGGCGAGGCCGGCGCTGGAGCCCCGGGTGTAGCTGCAGGCGGAGGTGGGGCTGCAGGCGAGACTGCAGCAGGAACCTCGGGCACAGCAGGAGGCGGAGGCGGGGCTGCAGGCGGCACCGGGACGTCGGGCGGAGCCACAGCAGGGAGCTCGGGCAATGCAGCAGTAACTGCTAACTCGGGTCCAGCAGGGGGCGCAGCAGGTACCGCCGACTCGGGTCCAGCAGGGGGTGCCACAGGCACCGCCCACTCGGGTCAAGCAGGGGGCGCCGCAGCCGAAGCCTCGCTGGGCGGTGTGGTAGCCGCCGGGACTTCGGGTGTAGCAGCGGGTGGAGGCTCAGAGTCTGGCACCTCAGCCAGTGCCTCCAGGGTCAGCGCTTCCCGGTTTGGCGTCGTCCCTTTAAGGGACCGCAGGATCCGCGGGATAGCGTCCAGTGCGGCCCTGATTCCTTTAAAATCCAGGTGACTGCCCAGGAAAAGCGAGGTTGCTGGTGACGGCGGCAGCGCAGCTGTGGTAATCCCTACTGGCTGCTGAATATCGGGAGGGGTTTCTCCCGATATTCAGCGGGGAAAGGGGCTGTGGGGAGAAGGCAAGCCCCCAAAAAGATCGTCGGGGCTTCTTCCTGTCCTTTCCCCTTGCGCCTCTTCTTTCTCCTGCTTTGGTGGGTAGGCTGTGACAGAGTCGCCCCAGAGAGAGCAAGCGACTGGAGCCGTTTCTTTATCACCTTTTCCATCAGCAGCCGGAGGTTTTCGCGCACGTGTATGAGGATGTGCGCTTCCGTGAACGGGGTCATCTCCTGCAGGAGGGTCCCACTCCGGCTGGCTAAGTCCAGTATGCCAGGGTCCTTTCAGACCTCCGGCTGGTTTAACCAGTAAATCACTTCTTGCAGCAAGCCGATCCGCTGGTCATCGGCCTGCTGCGTTGAGTCGTTGTGGAGATCAGTCATTCAGTTACGTTCTGTGCGAGCAGGCGAGCGGACAAACAAGCGATCCAGCCGGGAAGGAAGGCAAACGGGGATTTATTCCATATACAGGAAGCACACGGGACAAACGTTAATGACTGATATAGGGTGACGGGCGAAAACGCGGACTAAATACACAGAATAACAAGCAGGAAACGGCTGGTAAATGGAAGGATTCCACACGGGGATAATGAGGTAGGCGTGGTCCACGCGAGGACTGAACAGGTGATCGTGACATTCAGGGTGTAAAAATGACTTGCTGCTTCAGTATATACATTATATCACATAACTTTAGTTTTCTTCTTTGTAGTTTTGTCTGTCTTAAGACCTGAATATTAATAATGGAGACAGCTGATATACAAATACATGAAATACATGAAATTGCTTTGGTAATTCTTGTGGTCATTTACTGCACAGGATTTGAGCAGGACACTTTAGCTCTGAAGAACCATGATTAAGTGCCTGTATAGTACTACGGGACACTCAGGGTAACCCAAGACTGTTGTCCTGTGGAGTAGCAGCAGTGGCATTTGGAGTTACAGGAGTACAGTGCTGGGGGCAGGAAGGTAACACCTGCTCTCACCCAGGACCCAGTTCCTTTAGCCAGAACTAAATTTGATTACATCAAGTCATCCTGTTATTGAAGACTGAAATCTCTATAAAATTGATGGTGCGTACAGCAGGAGGTCTGCGAAATGCTGTGTTTAGTGGCTCATTTGGTAATAATTACAAACACTCAGGGTCTGAAATGATCTCCTGACGTGTAATTTTCCATCAGCCTGTCATCTTGGTAGACATTTGCCCCTGTAAGTTTTCCTCTGGTAACATCAAATAATCGCATCCAATCCATCTCTCATTATTTTATGCTCTTGCTGGTGAAATCTATATGTCTTTAATTAAACAGCAGAGTTTTGTCTGATGAAAAGCTCTGAAGTAAACCATTACCCCACTGTCATTACTTTGCAGTGTAATGAGACCTCATTCTTCTTTGAAGCACCCAGCAAAACAGGTTGTAAGCACCTTTGGAAGTGCTGCGTGGAGCATCACATGTTTTTCAGGTACGTGCTGCCTGTAACCCAGTTGGCAAGAAGCTGGTGTGTTTATCTTCCCCTGGAAAGCAGGCTGGTGGTCACATGATCATGCCTCATCTTAGAAATTCTCTGCTTAGGTTGGTGGTCACATGATCATACCTCATCTTAGAAATGCTCTGCTTAGGTTGGTGGTCACATGATCGCACCTCATCTTAGAAATGCTCTGCTTAGGTAGGTGGTCACATGATCATGCCTCATCCTAGAATTGTGTTCTCGTGTTTTACGTCACGTTCCATTGCTGAAGACTAGTTCAAATACTCAAGAACAGAAGTACAGAGGATTGCCCCGCCCCAAATATCAGGGATACATCGGGTGCATCCTTGCCAAATGAGAACAAACCTATGATTCATTGCCTCCCCCCACTTTGTTCTTTGGAGGCAAGTTAGCAAGACCAATCATGCCAAGACCACAAGTAAGATCTCTGCGTTCTTGGTATTGAGAAACACCCCTGCTCTGCTCAGGCTGGTGGTCACATGATCACAACCTCATCCTAGAACTGCTCTGTGATACATTCCCCAAAAGCTTCAATCATCATCTTAAATAGTTGGAACTGTTCAGTTGCATGGTTCCAACTACATAAGCTGCTAATGTAAATAACGGCATTGTTAGCAATTATGCTTTTGGGAAGCATACCCCTGGTCAGGCAGGTGGTCACATGATCAAGGTCACATGATCAAGCTCCATCCTTCTTTGTATTGCATCATTAACAAACTCTGCATTTTGTATGACCTACATTTGCTAAGGATGTCAGAGAATGAGTCCAACTCCTTGACGAGGAAACTCACCAAGCTCGGCTCTCTTGGATCAAAGCATCGCTACAGGTTAGTCAGTGTTATTTATGCAGGTGAAAAACACGAATCTGCATTCTTCTGATGTAACATAAGAACACAAGAAATTTACAAACGAGAGGAGGCCATTCGGCCCATCAAGCTTGTTTGGGGAGAACTTAACTAATAGCTCAGAGTTGTTAAAATCTTATCTAGCTCTGATTTAAAGGAACCCAGGTTTTTAGCTTGCGCTACACTAGCAGGAAGACTATTCCATACTCTAACTACACGCTGTGTAAAGAAGTGCTTCCTCAAATTCGTTTTAAAATGTTCTTCCGCTAATTTCCAGTTATGGCCATGAGTTCTAGTACTTAAACTAATATTGAAATAGCCATTTGGCTGAACAGCATCCAGACCTGTTAGAATCTTATATACCTGGATCATTACCTTACATTTATCTGTGTTAAATTTCACTGTATGTACAATCTCTGTTCTCTAAATTGTTGTAGCTGAATTTACATTTTTACCCTGGAAGAAAGAGAAAGAAATCCCAGTTATCTGTTTTTGGATACAAAGGACCTTGCTGTTCACTGAACAAACAGTGTTTCAGCACATTACATCACTTTCAGCACCTTACCACACTGTCTGGTCCATGCCATGACTGGCAACAATAATACATTAATAACATCTGTTACACATCATAGACACAATTTGTTTTCTGCACAAATTTCCAAAGGCAAAAATGCTACATGTGAGGTCAGCAGACAGAAAACATTTTTCATGCTTTATATATAAGTTATTTGTTAATTTGTAAAAGTAAGCAAGTCAAAAGTAGACAGCATGACCATGTCAACTTCTGTGTCATGCACAGTGGGAAGACTGCCTTCCAGATGGGGAAGCATCAGTCCGTTCAGCTGCCGCGGCCCGACCTGCAGGTCCAGCGGTGCCGCAGTAAGATGTACCCCAAGCGGGCCACCCCGCTGACAGGTTAGCCTCCAAGAGACAGAGACATTCCCAGTGCAGCAGCCGTCAAGCTAACACCGCTTTTCAACTTCAATCAATTTATTGATCATCATCAGCATTTTTAGACCTATTTAGCGATGTGTCTGTTGTCTTTATCAAGCTTAACATTAATTAAAAGGGCATTGCCTTAATTACTGAACTATAATGGCTATAATTGGCTATAATATTTGAGATGGAAGAATTTTAGATGGTTACCCATGGCCGTGTGGACTTCACACTTATCGGTTTTTACTGGTTATTTAAGTAGACTCCATCTCAGCTGTTGAACAATAAAGAAGCTTCTAAATAATCATATATATGAAACTAGAAATACCAAATAAACCTAGAAGTAGTATGACTCAGTAGGGTTGAGTAAACTAAAGAGACCCCACTGTCCCCTTTGCCCAAGTCCTTACCCTCCACAAATCATTTTTATTGGTCATCATGAAAACAGTCACCGCCCCTCTACAGCGTGTCTTCCCACCCAGCTGTACGATTTCCTGCCCTTTGGATCATGAAAGGTGTCATCAGTGGCAAAAATTTGCCAATGCCCACTGACCTCAAGGCCGACATTGTAAGTGATGAGTCAGTCTATGAGTGGTTCAGTGCTTCCCTGTTCGATGCTGTCAGCTGCCAGCAGGGAGCGGGGGCCCATAAATCCACAGTTGGCTCATGGTTCTTTGTTAGGGAGGGCAATTGGGGGAAGAAGCTGTTTAGGTGGCCACTAGTCGGTAGTACTGAAGGCAAAGTAACTAAGATCATTTGGATTGTAACCAATGTAAAAAACAATTAAGCTGAAGTATCGAAGGTGTTTAAAGTTTTGCTGTATTTACAGTCAGTATCAAATTGTACACAGTATGTGATGCCATAAGATACATGAAACATGACAATACATAGTATAAAAAACATATGAAATATGAAATACTACAGCCTAGCATGATATACTCGGGAATCACTAGGATTATGATTTTAATGTATATTGGTTTTATTAATAAACATTTAATCTTTCATTAAGGACCAAGCAACATGAATCTATCAAATGGTAATACTGAAAGTGGAGAAGGTCAAGAAACAAGAAATAGAACTGATGACTCTTCGGCAGTAAAAAGGTGCGTAACAAAAGGTGAATTGAAATATTCAGGCGAAACTGGTTCAGGTTTTTTTGAGTAAAATCTATGTTCATTGGATCGTTCTGGCTATGTTTGCTCCAGGGTGAACATAGTGATACTGTACAGTACATTGTTGTTCTAGCAATACTTTCATAGAGGTCTGGTGAACGTAAGATATCAAGAGGCCGATATTGAGTGTTGTAGCTCTTAACACATGGTATATTTGTCATGTGCCGGTGGCAGGAACTCAGCCAGATACTGCTTAGGAGACACTTCTGGGAAACATGCATCTGTCCCCTCCTACAATGGTGCCCTTAGGTTGCACCAGTTGACCAGATTTTGGACTGATGATTTGGTGGTTCTGATTGTGCTAGATCTTCTGGAAATGAAGCCATGTGCTTTCTTGTGTTTATTAATGTGTTTTATTTTTAAAACAAAGTGTGAAAAACTGTTTAAGATGTGAAAGAGCGTTTATAATGTTACCCTTTCGAAACATTATCCCTATCGGCGTTTGAATACTGTATTTATAAGCATATACTATATTTAGCAAAGCTAAAGTTTTTCATTAGAAGAATAAGCAACTGTATGTGTATATGTTTTCCCCATAGTTGCAGAGCAAGTAAAATAGGGAATAGTCCAGAAGCACAGTCAAGAGCCCCCAGTGCACCTTGGGAAGAAAACTCGATGCAGAGGTATCCTGATCTGACTCGCCTGATACCACAGACAAAATGCAGTGGCCATTCACTCACTCTGTTTCTGGTCACATGACTGGGGAGGTAATTAGGGAATTACAAAGTGATACATAACCCATACACCCAACTTCCAACCACTTATACAGTGCAGGATTGTGGGGGAGATATACATGTTTTATTCAGTAGTCACTTTTATCCAAAACGACATACATTTTTGAGAAAACAATTGGAGCAATTGGCAATTAAGGGCCTTACTCATGGACGCAACGGTGAAATCACTAGCGACCTTCCGATCACAAGCACACACTGCTCCTAAATATATTATATGACAGTTATATTCATATGTCCAGTTGTGTTTATCTGAAGGTTAACGTTTTAAGGATTATGAAGCAGCAGACCGATCGTCAGCGGCCAAAACTACCTCCAGGCACATGGAACGTAACGTAAGGAATGTAAGGAGCCTGAGCTGGTGCGGGAGATAGAGAGATGCCGACTAGATATAATTGGACTCACCTCGACTTTTGGCTCGGACTCTGGAACCAAACCCCTGGAGAGGGGCTGAATTCTATTCCATTCTGGAGTGGCCCGTGCTGAAAGACTCTGGGCAGGGGTGGGGCTACTTGTAGTCATCCAGTTTGGTGCCAATGCATTGGCGTTTACACCGGTAGATTAGAGGGTCACCTCCCTTCGACTTCGTGTCTGGGGACGAGCTCTGACTGTCGTTTGGGGGGCTCCCATTCTGTGTGTCTATGTCTTTTCGAACCTGTGCAGTAAAAAGACCACTCTAGGCTTGATACGACTTTTACCCCTTGATATGGAGTTTTACCCTGAGCTATATGCTGTCTTCTGACCGTGACTGGGAGCTCTGGAATATGACAAGACATTTAATGCTCCGCCAGAAGAGGGCAACTTAAAATGCGGGTGCCTCAGCTGGCCTTGGCATAAGCACCTCCCACGCACCTGCAGATCTCTGCTGAACCAGCTGTGAGGAGGCCTACAAGACAAGGTGATCAGGGGGAGCCGAAGACTCCGGGGAGAGCAGTATGACAGCGCATGCTGTGTAATGAATGACAGACTCGTGAGGACGCTCTTATTGTGCCTTGTGACTCATGGACCTCAGGAGACTCATGGGAACTGTGTATTTGTTAGTTGTGGTGTTTCACAGCATTCAGTTACTGACTCAAAGTATACTTTATTATTTTATTGATCCATCTATGGTCCCAACCAGCATATCCTTGATTTAAAGAATACAGTATAGAATAATAAATTCAAATAAATGAAATTTAAATAATTTAAAAAAGATATTGTAAAGCAGCAGAAAATAAGCATGAGTCCAACTCAATTCTGAATGGCAGCTCTAGTTTTTTTTTCTTACATCTTCCCAACGTGTGAGCGTATTAAAACACTCCACTGCTGCCCCCTTGTGGTGAGTGAAGTGAGCCTGGTGTGAGCTTATGGTTCAAGTAAAAATAAAAATAGAAATACTACAGTTTGGATCTTAATTTGTTTTCACATTTGACTGTCAATGTATATTCAAGTAATTTCTATCTATCTATCTATCTATCTATCTATCATCTATCTATCTTTGGTCTTCTTATTTGATGAAATAGTGCCTACAGTCAGTGTTTTTAGGAAATACTGAAAAAAATGTTTTTTGAATGTACATTTTTATTTGATTTTTTAAAAAAATGACAGGTCTGCCTTTCTGCTTTCATGTGAAATTTTAACAATTTTGGCCAGTTGACCAGACATGACTGTTCAACACTTTATGGAATTTACACAAGATAACCCCTGTAGTGAGATCACCTGCAACAGGGACCTCAGGGGACATTTTCCTATAAGGCACCTTTTTCCTGACCGAAGGAATGGTACTATTTCAAATTAGACAAAATACTGCCTTTCATGTGTTTATGATTCCCAAAGCTTGTTCCAGGGCACCGAGAACAGTAAAACAACAGTGATGTTTGACTGTGTGTTTCTTATTTGCCGCCAACAGCTTGTACAACTCTGCCAGTGAAAGAAACAAATCGTCAAAATTCCCGGCGGTGAAGCGACATACTGCATCTGGTGGGAGCGAGAACGAGCCATCTCAGCCAGGCAGACGCAGGTACGCCGCTCTCAGTAACCCACCTGCCTGCACCGTTTGTGGAGCTAGTCTGCCACCCCTGACCGTGGGCTAACACGCATATCAACTTTCATGTCCACCTTAAACAGTCAGCATTCTTTATTGTGGACAGGGAAAAAATGAAGCTTCATGAATCATTTGCTGTATTTTCTGACCCCACTAGATGGTGCCCTCTGTTCAAAAAAGGGCAAAAAGCATGTCCCAAAGTAAACCAAAAACACCATCTAGTAGGGTAAAAAAATACAGCAAATGCTTCATAAGGCGTCATTTTGTCCATCACTGCTTTATGGGTATCATCATTTCCAGCTGCTGTTCACCAAAACACCTTTGCACTAATGGCCACCATCCAGAATTTTAATCAATAATATTCTGTCTTTAAAGTATCCTGCCTTATGAACGAGTATAGCTGGATGGTCATAGCTCTGTCTGTATTTGAAAATGGAACATGAAGAATATATAGGAATATATAGTCACCAGCCACTTTTTTAGGTACACCTTGCTATCAGGTTGGACCCCCTTGTGCCTTCAGTACTACCTTAATTCTTCATGGCATAAATTCTACAAGGTTTGATCCATGTCGACATGACAGCACCACACAGTTGCTGCAGACTTGTTGGCTGCACCTTAATGATACTCCCATTCCACCACATCCCGTGGGTGCTGGATTGGGATCTGGTGACTATGGAGGCCATTTGAGTACATTGAACTCATTGCCATATTCAATAATCAGTCTGAGATGATATGAATTTTGTGACTGAATTGTTGATATACAGTATGGCATGATGTATCCATGATTTCATGTTGTTTACACAAAATTCTGACCCTAGTGAGACTCATCAGGCAACGTTTTTCTAATCTTCTGTTGTCCACTTCTGGTGAGCCCATGCTCACTGTAGCCTCAATTTCCTGTTCTTAGCCTAGCAGAAGTGGCACCAGGCGCTTGTGATCCAGAGGTCATTGGTTCAAATCCCAGGGTCAGCAGAGTGATTTCACCATTGGGCTAATGAGCAAGGCCGTCAACCCCTGATTGTTCCAGGGAGTGTATAAGAAGCATCTGCTAAATAAATAAAATGTAGTCACTTCACTGGAATAAGGGGAATGTTCTGGGCATTTTATCTAAGCACACTGATAACTTAACATCTCATTCCTGTGTTGTAGGAAGGGCCATTCTCAGGAGAATCCTCAGCAGCAGAAGAGAAGGTAGGGCTTTGGACAAGAGCTGCTGTCCACATTTTTGCTCCCTCCAAGCTTCCTGTGGACTGTCTGACAGGGAGCTGGGAGGGAACAAAATGTGGACTGTCTTTGGGTCCCCAAGGACCAAATTGGAAAACATTGCCTTGCAGGATTAGTCAAAATGTTCTTTTTTTCTGCTCTACTTTTTTTAGGTCACGTTCCCGTGGCTACACCAGCAGTGGCAGCGAGTCCGAAAGCTCCAGCAGGGACCATCGGAAAAAGAACAGGTGAGTCAGTGTGAGAAAGGTGACCAGTGGGCCTGTGAACCTCTCTTAATGTGCAATGGTGGGTGGAAGGGAATGAAAAAAAATTAAATACTCATAGTTACATTGGTCTGTGTCAGAGAACTGTTATTGATAATGGACAAATATAACTTCAATATCCTAACAGCATTTTAACCAAATATAACTTCATTCTCCTAACAGCATTTTAAATAAATGATGCATGTGAATCATACACAAATGGCTATCCATCCATACACAGAGTACAACCATTCTCCTCAACTGCTCATCCAGTACAGAATTCTAGCATTACCTAGAAGCCTATCTTAGGAAGCACAGGGCACAAGGCAGGGGACACCCTGGAGAAGAACTCAGTCCATCAAAGGGCACAATACAGGGGGACCCCCTGCACAGGAAGTCAGTCCATCAAAGGGCATAATACAGGGGGACTCCCTGGACAGGAAGTCAGTCCATCAAAGGGCACAATAAAGGGGGGCCCCTTGGACAGGAAGTCAGTCCATCAAAGGGCACAGGACAGGGGGACCCCCTGGACAGGAAGTCAGTCCATCAACGGGCGCAAGGCAGGGGGACCCCCTGGACAGGAAGTCAGTCTGTTAAAGAGTGAATACATGTTTTGTTTAAACTTTTGATTCACAAAATGGAGAAACTAGAGAATAATTGTTGTTATTTGTACTGAGGTCTGCTCATATACATGTGGGTCCATGTTTCTCCCAGGTCACGACAGGAAAATGAGATGGTGGATTCTGGTCCTCAGTGGGAAGCTGTGCTTCGCCGACAGAAGGAGAGATCGCAGAACGACCCCAGCCACCGCAGATCCAGGCACCGCTCACGATCGTGAGAGCTTTAAAAACAATATCACAATAGTCATGACATTTCACAAAAGCTCTTTGGGAGTGCTATTACGTTGAAGAAGTGTTAAAGTAGCGTTTCTCAATCCAGGCCTCAGGGAGCTTCAGTCAGTCCATGTTTGTGCTCCCTCCCATCCCTGCTAGACAATCAACAGATAGGAACAAAAACATGGACTCTCTGGGGTTCTCTGAGGACTGGGTTCAGAAACACCATGTTAAAGCAACAGTAATTTTTTAAATGAGCATGTCTCCCTCTAGTGGTGAAATTAGCAAAATATTTCCATTTATTTCGGCATATTAAGTGACTGTTTTTATAATTGGTTTCAATATCAGTAAACATCTTTAGAATTTGAACATTTTTATATGTGTATTTTATGTGGCTCATGTCACTAAACTGCTGGTGATGTTTCAATTATAATTGAAAAGCAATTTAGCATGATTCAACTCTTAGTATAACTTTAGATAGCAGTATTATGTAATACATAACTGAATATATATATATATATATTTATCTTTGCATAACTACAAACATTATAGTTATATCACAGTATGAACTTATGCAAGGAAGTAGGAGTTTAGACACAAAGCAACAGTGTCATAATTTGCCCTTGTGTTTGTCCATCTGCCTAGAAATGAAGGTGACTAAAACCTAAGCTTTTCCTGTGAATTCTCATTATCTTACAGGAGAAGCCCTGATGTCCATGCAAAAGAGCAGCTGTGGAAGCACATTCAGTAAGTCTGAGGTACTGACTCCAAATCACTTTGGGGAAGAGGAGTGAACTCTGAGGGCCTGCCTCTCTTTCAGGAAAGAGTATGTGGATCCCTCTGGCCTTACAGAAGAACAGCTGAAAGAAATCCCCTACAAGAAGGTCGAGTAAGTAATACCTGTGACTGAACTTAATCACATAACCGTCCATCCATCCATCCATCCATCCATCCATGCATCCATACATACATCCAACTTCCAATCATCAATACAGTACAGGGTTGTCATTTGAATAAACAGTAATGTATCTTGAATTTAAAACTGTTATATCGATTTAATTTCTAAACCCAATCCTCGTAACTTGTCAGCCTTAATTATATGCAAAGCAAGGAAAATTATACATTTAAATGGGACAAAAAAGGATGTTTACACAGCAATATAAACTTTCATTATATTGAATATAAATTATTCTACATGGCTTCAATGTGTTCTTGCAAATGTAGCTTAAGTTATAGATTATATCCTAATCAATTTATTCATCAAACAAGATGCATAATTTCCAGAATTAATTCTTATCATATATTCATAAAAGGATGAAGGGATTTAAATACTAGGAAACTCTGCAGTCTGGTTGTGAAAAAGAAATTCCGATTGATTAGTTCCTATGATGCGGAATTATGCTGTTCTGGGGGTTTTGGTCACTTGTCCCTATTGCAGTAGCTAAGGGCTCTTATTTGTCAACGGCTGTTTCAGAACTCAAGGTGATCCGATCCGCATCCGTCATTCACATTCTCCCAGAAGCTTCCGCCAGTACAGGAGATCGCAGTGTTCTGATGGGGAAAGATCCGTGCTCTCAGAAGTCAAGTACGTGTTAAACAACATGGCATTTACTCTCTGAGATGTAGATTTACCAACCAAGTATGCTTACATATTGTCGCTGTCTGATGAAAAACACACATGTCCACTTTTTGACAATTGTAACTTTTTACAATAGACACCCTTTGTCTACTACATTCGATATCTAATTGATTAATGAAAATGTTTTACAAAGTCATCTATTTAGATAGTATTTCTGTTTGTACTAATTAAGATTTGTATTCATGATCATTGTTTTGTTTGTATGCATTATATTGCTTTTAACAACTTAACATTGATAGCTTTAGCTAGCTAACTGACATCATTATTAATTGTGAATGTAACATGAGATTACTTTGGATCTTGTTGAAACTGATATATTTGCCTCGCTAAAAAAAATCCACCGCGGGTCCATTTAGAACATTAAATAGTTTGCTAATGGCTGTGTAAGCATATGTTGCTATTCGTGGTACTACGCGGTTCTTATTGCATTGTTTTATGTTTATTTTGTAAAGTAGTTTATGAGAAAATGTGTTTTCTTTTGCTCCCGAAGTAACGCATTTTTGGAGATAAGTGTTTTTTATTGGACAGTTTTGATACTTAATCAGTGTAGGACCCTGTGTGTTGATGTCTGCGGAGTCCATCCAATGACCTTTATCCGCCGTCCTTTCTAAGTTCCCAGACGGATCTGGTGGCCCCCCTGCCGGTGACTCGCACGGCCGACATCCCAGGATCCAGCGTGTTGTCCACTCGGGTCAGTTTCCGCATCTGACCTGCTGCTTCTGGCTCCCGTTGCTGCAGCCATGACAGAAATTTGCCTGCATTATTCTGCTTGCTAACCAAGGTGGTCGTAGAACCTACCGAGATGGGTAATTAATAAAAAGAAGCCAAACCCTGTGATATGTTCAGGGAGAGCAGGGAAGCTGAAAATGCTGATATATACCACGGTGAGTGTAAGTAAACATACTCCTAGCAATGAACAGTCATAGTGACACTGATAAGGTGCAACCTGAACATCCATCCATTCATCCATCTTCCAAACCGCTTATCCTTCTGGTCACAGGGGTCCGGAGCCTCCAACCTGAACATATTTATTCTTTAAGGAGAGTGACCTGCAAGCTCCATAATTTACAATTAGTGTCATAAGATAGAATCTTCAAACAGAAAAGCTAAAGACCAATAAAGACATTTCCCTATATAGCCTGTCCCTGGGTTAAGAACACCCGACTTAGAGACAGCTTGTACTGATGAACTGACTGCCATTAAGCCTAATTCTTTAAATTCTGGGTTAAATACAATGGTTCGTAATGACGAACGCACGTGGAATTTTGTGACACTCATGAAAACAAGGCGGGGCTTCAGTTTATCGGTACAGTACAGTACCGTCAGTGACAGAACAACTGCACACAAGGCCCCGGGGCAAAACACTGATCGCCCCCCGCCCCCGCACACACGCACACACACACACACACATGCACGCATACGTATATGTGGTGGCGCAGAAACGAGTTTTAAAGTGTGGGTGCAAGAACACAAAAACCTTAACAAGAGAATTCGACTGTTACTCACAAAAACTGTAAAGTTTTAGTGGCTAAATTGCATTTTCTACGCCTTTTCAGACAGGAGGAGATTTGTTTGGCTATGCCTAGAAAACAACGTTGTTACCAGAGTTTTACCAAGGACAAAAATTCCACCTCCAGCTGCCTGCCCATCTCATCCATTTCTGTTGCAAAAATTACAGTGTATTGTGTAAGTGAATAGGGTATAGGTTAATTAGAGTGCACGCACCGTGTTTCTCATTCTCATAATGTGTCCATGCATCCAGGTATATCCAGTTCAAATGTCATGTAATAATAATAATAATAGATTTTATTTGTAACGCATTTTACATTTAAAATAAATCTCAAAGTGCCACAAAATAAGTCATCCTAAAAAAGTGAAAAAAACACATATTAAAACAACAATTAAAACAAGCAAGTAGATCAATAATTAAGAAACCTGTAGCCTGCAAAATTAATAAAAATCCATAAGTTCTATTAAAAAGAAATGTCTTAAGTCCTTTTTTGAATAGTCTGTGGTGCCCTCAAATGGTCTGGGAGGGTGTTCCATAGTCGAGGGGCGGCAGAACAGAAGGCCCGATCACCCATGGTGCTGAGTTTGGTCCTGGGAAATAGGAGACGATTTGCATTTGTAGATCGTCGAGACCGTGTTGAGGTTAGGGGGGTAAGTAGTTCTTTTAAGTAAAGGGGGGCATTTCCATGGATGCATTGGTGAGTGATAAGGGAAACCTTGTATTCAATCCTTGCAGAAATGAGAAGCCAGTGCAGTGACTGAAGAATGGGTGTAATGTGTTCATATTTTCAAACTCTCATCAGAATCCTTGCTGCACTGTTTTGTACATATTGAAGATGTTTGTTGGGCATTCCTATGAGAAGTGCATTGCAGTAGTCGATTCTAGAGGAGATAAAGGCGTGAACCAGTTTTTCAGCATCTGGCAAGGTGAGAGTAGGAAAGAGTTTTGCAATATTTCTGAGGTGGTGGAATGAAGTCTTGCAGAGATGTTTAACATGAGCTTCAATAGTAAGTTGAGGATCAAATCTAACACCAAGGTTGATGAGGCAAGGGAAATGTCATGACCGGAGACTGTAATGCTCGGTATGGAGGCTAACTGAAGCTGATGCGGGGTACCAACCAAGATTACTTCAGTTTTAGAGCAGTTTAACTGGAGAAAATTTTGTTTCAGCCACACACTGATCTCCTCAAGACAGATGCTGAGTTTCGATGGCGGTGATGGTGATGGTGAAGATGATGCTGCAGAGGAGTATTTATCAGTTTTCATGTAAAGCTGTGTGTCATCAGCATAACAGTGAAATGAAATTCCATAGCAACTAATGGTTTGGCCAAGAGGGAGCATGTATAAAGTGAAAAGGATGGGGCTGAGAACTGACCCCTGGGGGACTCCACAGGTCACAGTGTGTGTCCGGGACCTTGCTTTTCCAAGGAAAATGTACTCTGTTCTGTCTGTAAGATAAGATTGAAACCAAGACCAGGCAGTGTCTGTTAGTCCAATGGTGTGATGTAACCGATTGAGGAGTATATCATGGTCAATAGTGTCGAAGGCAGCAGATAAATCAAGAAGAACTAGTAGAGAAAGTGAGCCAGCATCAGCAAGTCATTTGTGACTCTAATCAAAGCTGTTTCTGTGCTATGGGCAGAGTGAAAACCAGACTGAAATTTTTCAAAGAGGTTGTTGTATTTGAGGTGATCCTGAATATAGATGGCAACTACTTTCTCCAGTACTTTAGTGAGAAATGGAAGGTTGGAGATAGGCCTATAGTTGGCAAAAACTTCTGGATCAAGAGTTTTTTGAGAAGTGGTTGGATTATAGCGGTTTTTAAAGCAGATGGAATGTAGTCAGCCTGGAGGGATTGGTTAATGATTGTGGTGATAAAAGGAGTGATGGCAGAGATGTTTGCTTTCACCAAGGCTGTAGGAAAGGGATCCAGAGCACAGGTGGAGGGCTTCATCTTCCTAATAATTTCTTCAACCTCTTGTTGTGAAACTTCTAGGAAGCAGTCGAGAGGCTGGGCAATCTCAGGCCGTGGATTGATGGTCAGAACAGATAGATCTGGGGGACTTGGAAAGGCCGAGCAAATTGAGTTGATTTTTGCTTTGAAGAAGGTCATAAAATCATTACAGCGCTCTATAGGAGTTTCTGGTTGGAGAAGTTGATTTACAGTGGAGAACAGCTGCTTAGAATTTCCATGGATGTTTTTAATGACATTTGAATAAAACTGAGACCGTGCCTCTCTAAGGGACTTTGAGTATGCCTTTTGATGTTCCCAAAAGGCCAGCTTGTGGACAGTGAGACCAGTAGTATTGTGACGCTGCTCAAGGGCACGCCCAGCTACCTTCATTTTTCGTAGCTCATTCGTAAACCAGGGTGCTGAGCGAGAGAATGTAACTGCTCTGGATTTGACAGGGGCATGGAGATCCAATATACTGCTCAGGGTGTTACGAGCCCCAGTCTAGGGTTGGGGTGTAACAGAATGGAAGGGAAAGGGAAAGGGGAATAAGGGAAACACAGGGTGTGGTGCACAAGGGAACACACATGGACAAAGGGGTATTTTTTTGTATTTTTCTGATTTTATTTACACGCGAACAAATAAACCCGGTGCAAAAGGACTCAGGAGTGATTATAGCCAAAATAACAAACAGAAAACCCAGCCTCTGAACGCAACCCAAATCTGACTTAACTACGTGCAAGAGACATCAAAGAACAAAAACAACAAGTACTACATCTCACTCCCTAACTAAACAACAGCATGCACGAAAACCTCCAAAATAAATATGGCAACCACTCCCTACACACCTAACAAACACACAGAACATACACAGGGCAAAGCTTCAGAATCCGAGGGGCGCGCGAAGACATAAACCAAAAACCAGGCAAGAGATCGAAACCAAAAAGCAAACAAACCAAGGCAGAAGTACAGAAAGGGGCAAAGCGAGTAATCGTAAACCATTAAACCGAAACTGTCATACACAATAGTCAAATCAAAGAAAGCAAACCAACAGTAATCCAAAAATGAGGCAACCTTATGGTCAGACACACTAAAATCATATATTAATAAATTGCTGACAAGGGCAGAGTTGCTAATGACCAAATCGAGCGTGTGCCCCCTAGTATGCGTGGGGACATACTAGGGGGCATATAGCCTAACTTTTTATACAATTTAGACAGCACAGAATCATTAACCTACTTTAACGCATTTATTTATACAACCACATACTTCCCACATTTTGACATCAGTGATGCAGTGAAGATACAGTCTCTTTATTTCTTGACGCCAACCCTCCCCATTAATCCAGGCTTGCTCCCTTAAGTGGCTGGGTTAGGCTAAACTATATACATATTTACAAAGACTACAATAAAACATCCCGAAATATGTAGTCTAACAAAACGCAGTTTAAAGAAGGTAGCCTACCTGGCAAAATTGCAAACAAACAAATTAAAAGGCCCATGGCATATAATCGGGCTATAGCAAACAAAAAGCAGTTTTTAAGAACGTAACCTACATGGCGAAATTGCAAACAAACAGAAGGCCTGCAGCATATAATAGCCTATTAGAACAGAACTTGCTCAAAGTTTTTTTTTTTGCTTTAGATCCTACCCATCATGCACTGCAGTTTTTTGCAAGTTCCTCAAACGGAAAACCATTAAATACAAAAGGTTTGACTTCAAAACATTATATTTAAAAAAAAAAAAAAAAAAATTTAAAATTTAAAATTACACCATACACCCACCATAATAAGAATGTATACCAAAAATGACAGATATATAAAATTGCAGGTCACAATGGTAGTGTAAGGAATATATCCTAGCAGTCAAAAGAGTGGGAGACTTTACATCAGTATAACTTTGTTTGTTTTTATTATATGGGAGGGGCCTCATGGCTGGGGGAGGGGCCCAGGGGCGGTACTGTATATAGTTACTTTTATTATTACTGTATTGTGTAATAATAATTATGTACCGCATTATTGATTTTTCAATTTACCTACAAATTCGACTTAAAGACTTCAGGAACGGATTTCGTTCGTAACCTGGGTGCTGCCTGTAATATGTTAACACCTACTGTCCTGGTAGACTGAATACTTAAAACAATGCTTCCCGATGCTGTTCATTATTCAAAAACACTTCTACTATGGTAAACATAAACTTTTGAATGTTTTATATTGTATATATTGTATGATACCCAATCCTCACATGCCTTTATTCCTGTCAAAAATTGTCTTTAAATGAGCTTTCAATCATTTACATTTCTGCTTGCAATAAAACCCTAAAACAAAACTACAGAATAAAAACACAAAATCCATATACTAATACGAATTTAAATTATCATCAAACCCTCTTCTCTGTTAATCTGAATATCCAAAATTATTCTTTTTATTCATTTCTATGTATTAACCTGAAATGTTTTCATCTACCACTTTTCTCTCCAGAGAAGAGATGGATCCAAAGATGACCATTCCACAGGCACAGAAGTAAAATGCAGTATTAAGGTGGTGAAGACCAGCCATACCCCCAGAAAGAAAGTCGAAACGTGATTGGATGGATTTGCTCATTGTGTTAAAACCGAAATGGCACAAGCCAACGGAGAGGACTGTATGAGCAATCTCAGAAGGCTCAGTGCTGGTCTCCTGTATATGTATCCCATATATATTTTAGATAAGGCATGGTCTCAGCGGGTAGCTTAATAGTTCTAGTACAGATGTCAGCGTCTCTGGCCACTTCATAACCTATCTAAAGCTAAATCATCAGGATGTCATAAAATGATAAACAATATATGGCTGAGAGATAAAATGACAACAGAATTCATATTGCCCACTCTATAAATGCATTGTCTTAATCAAAATTCAAATTTCTCTTTCACCAAAATGGTTTAAAGAATGCTTTAGAAACCTCCAGGGGGTCTGTCCTCCATTCTGTACAGTATTAAACTCCCATTCAGATAAGTGTTAACCTTTAACTTGTACCTGAATGAGTCTTGCAAATTCATTACTTTCTTTTATAGGACCTTCGACCCCTGAATTATTTGCAAATAGATTTATTCCCACTGTTGAGAAGAACCACTTACACATTCATGACAAATGGCCAAAACAGAATCGATATTTTAAGTATCCACACTATGTGTCACGTATTCCTCACAAAATTGAAGAATGATCTATAAAACCTGTATGTACCGTAAAATTTGTTTTGGATAAATAAAGGATTGATCTTTTCAATCCCACACAGCAAACTGGGTGTTTTAATAAAGCATTCACCAGAGAAGGTACAGTGTCATTCACTTGAGTTAGTGTTGAGTATATTATGAAAAATGCAATAGATATTATTTGAGGCGGCTCAGTCTGCTTTACATGACAGGCTAATAGAATATTTAAGACTCGAGTAGATCCTGCAGATGCCGATGGTGTAAAACAATCTTTTCTAACATTTCAGATATAATCTTTCCCAGATAAAGCAGATTATGTCCGTGGGCAGTGTAGGGAGGCTTTAAGCTGAGTATTTTCACTAGACTCACTACAGATATTACAGGTCTCCCACAGATCGGCAAATTTTCAGCAATAAGAGAGACCTTTTATATTTAAAGAACTTTACTCCTTTTACACAAACAGAAGGCAGGTCTTTAAATTTTTGTCCTACACACACATATGCCGTGTGTGTTGCATTGTTATCACTTGGTGGCTGGAACAATCTCTGTCAGTTTTGTTTTGAAACATATTTTTTGTGAAGGTGGTAAAAACCCGATGATTTTACCATCTTCCTTTGCTCTTTGTTTAAATACTAAAGTATCCCAACATTTTCCGGATTAGCGAGGCTCTCTTGGGAAGTACGGGCGGATGGGAAATGTGCTCACACAAACACACCGCAAGTTACTGTCTCTGGAGTGGGTTACAATCAGTGCAAGCACAGCACAGTCATGCAGTTACCTCCCAGAGCTGGGACTGGTTTCAAACTGGCAGACCTGTAGAGGTGAGGTAAGGACACACACTGAACCAACGCTGAGCCATAATTCTGTTGTGCACACGCCATTTGAACTATTAACATGTTAGTACAGTCCTGCAGATTTCTAAGTAATGCCCATGTTAAATGCAATTATCTCATTTGGTACATGTGTAATAATTATTGTACTGTAAATTTGGCTAGTAGCTGCCTTGTATCAACTTTCAGCCATGGTACTAAGAGGTTGCTAAGGCAACGACACTAACTATACCTATGAGATCAGTGCTGCCCTCTCTGCTGGGATGTCTGAAAGGTTCAGATCTGAAAGGTCAGGAATTAAAAATCCTGCCTGGTTTAACCCCCCCCCCCCCACCACCCAAACACACCCCAGCCCGTGGATTCATATCTTTTTGGAGACCGCTCATTCTTTTCTATGGGAAAAATGCTAATGCTAACTATGACAACCTTAATCCCTACCCAGCCCTAAGCGTAACCATAAGTAACCAAACAAAATACAAGTGTTTTTGCATTTTTAGTTTTTTCATTGCAGTCACGGATTTTATAACATAGAGTTTTCCCATATGGGGACCAGGAAACTAAAAAGCAGGTACGTTGGAATGTTTACTCATTTAGTGTCACTCAATCACAAAGACACTAAAAACAATACTGACACCACAAAACAATACAAACAATGTAAAACATTACAGTTGTAGAAACCATGATAGTAAATTAAAGATTAGATTACTGTAGCCTACTGAACCACAAAACAGTAAACTGCTACCAAATGGACCTGGACTATAACCTACTTCGATATGTTTGTGGTCATAAAATGACGGCGTTGAATTTTAGCGAGCTGCACATGTCTGAAGAAACATGCCCTGAAGGCTTTGGTGAGAGTCACTCCATCATTCCCCAGAGAATGATGTCATATCCTGCCCAAACCATGCATCTACGCATGAGGAGACGACTTCATGTCCTCTCTTGCCTTCAGCTCTGAGGCTTTGGCTTGATTTGCTCGTAAATAATACAGATAGGATGTGTGATACTGACGGGGGAATTTGCAGGCTATGCAGCCCTGGATGGACTGAAAGAGTAGCTAGGTTTTAACTGCTTTTTTTAATGAAGATTTGCAGCAAAAACAAATTCATCCAAAGTATCTACACATGTGCAACAATCACAATTGCAATTTTCAGGTTTGGGTTTCCATTTCTTTGATGCTGTCAATATACTTTCACTACTTTTATAACTGGACACAAGGCTTTCCATCCAACCGTGATGTAGCTGCTCATTCTGGTCAGGGGGCCTGGATCACAAAACAGGGGTACATCCTGGATGGAGGCCCCAGCCCTGCAGGTGTCCAATATAGCCTCCTGTTGACCAGAATCAGACGTTCTATTGCCTCACTAACTACAACAACATTTATGAAACAACTTCTGCAGTCCTTCAGCCTTACATCTGAAGCATCGTGTATAAATGAACTTGAACAGGCAACTGCAAACATGGAAAAATCCCTTCGTAGCACACTAGATCTTGTAGCTCCACTTAAGAAGATAAAGCATAGAGATAAGAAACCTGCCCCTTGGTACTCTGATCATACACGTGAACTCAAACAGGCATCATGCAAGCTAGAGCGCAAATGGTGCTCAACTAAACTAGAAGTTTTCAAATCTGCATGGAAAGAGAGCCTGTATAAATACAGACAAGCACTAGTGCCTGCTACGTCTGTGTATCTCTCCAGATTAATAGACGGGAACAAAACCAATCCAAAATTCCTATTTGAATCCATGGCTAGGTTAACACAGAATTCTCCATTAAACTCGCAAGTCCCGCAAGCTCTTAAGAGTGATGACTTTATTCCATTTTTTAATGGTAAAATAACTAAGATTAGACAGACCATCCAGTGCACGTCCTTAGCTACCTACGGCTGCCAGCCTCCTGCTAGTCTTATACCTATCAATAATGAGACCTTTGAATCTTTCATTCCTATAAAACACTCAGAACTCTTGAGCTTAATTTCCTCCTGTAAATCCTCTACTAGCCTCGTAGACCCAATTCCTACAAAATTCTTCAAGGAAATTGCACAGCAGATTAGCAATACTCTGTTAAATGTGTTAAACTCATCTCTTAAGCTTGGATATTTTCCAAAACCTTTTAAAATGGCTGTTATTAGACCCATCCTAAAGAAACCAAATCTTGAACCTAGTGTTTTAGGAAACTATAGACCTATCTCAAATCTTCCTTTCATTTCAAAGATCATGGAAAGGGTTGTAGTTTGTCAGTTGTCGTCTTTCCTAAAAAAAAAAATACTAATGAATTATATCA